GTTTTGGTTAAGAATTTTGATGTTTTGATATCAGAAAGTGTCATTCTTTATGTGTATATCTTGGAGTGTCATTCTCTAGGATTTGAGTTTCTTAGTTGAAGATTACGATTTGTAAATGCAAAGGCAAGAAGTGTCATTCTTTCTGCGTGTATCTTGGAATGTCATTCTCCTTGGTTAATTTTTGTGTTAGTATATGGGAAGATTTAGGAAGCTATCAGGAGTGTCAATCTCCTTGATTGATTTGGTTTCTTGGAGTGTTATTCTCCTTGGTTGATTTGGTTTCTTGGAGTGTCAGTCTCCTTAGTTGATTTGGTGCCAATCTCTGTAAAGTTTAGTTACTTCAATTTTTTTTTTGTTTTTGCTCAAACTCCTCTGTAGATGACAAAGACTTCAACAGATTAGGATTAGAAACTGTATTGTGCAGAGCATTTTTTAGCAGTAACATACATTTTAGCAAGCCTCATGGGTTAATCAATTGAGCTCTCAAGGATAAAAGCATACATGCATGGCTTTCAAGAAGTGGTTTCCTCGCTTCTTACAACGTCTACCAAAGCCCACGGTTGGAGAATAAGCTCTCTTCTCTCTGAAAATTGCTTTCAGGGCTTTTGTTGGCTTAGAACTGGATCATTCGTGCATTGGCTTCTCTAAGTTCTGACTTCATCATATCTTTCTCTAACCTCTGTACCATTAAGCATGTCCCTATTGGAAAACTCGGATCTCTCAGTCACATGTAGGCCTGGCAACGGGTCGTGTCTGTCGTGTTCGTGTCGTTTTCATGTAACACCTGTTATCTTAACGGGTCGTGTCGTGTCACACCTGTTATCTTAACGGTCCTTAACAAGTCGGGTCACTTTACCCAACGGGTAAAGTGACCCGACTCGTTATGACCCGTTAAGAAAAATATAAATTTTCTTAAATTTGCACATACCACACATTACCGCATAAATATTACTTCAAAACATTAAAACATATTTGTCATTTAAGTACTACATCTACACTCGAAAATAAGAGCCTAATAAAAAACGATAGATTCACTAACACTTATAGTTTATTTATACTTTCATTAAGTATAACATAAGATTTTGTGGTATCCACTTGTATAAATATTTTAAATTGACGATCAAATTCATTCATTGTGTTCGTATAGGGTCAAGGAGTGTAGTTATAAAAAATCATGAAAATCGGAGTTAAAATAACCGTTAAATCGTGATTTTTTGTTTTACAACCGTTGAAACGTTTTGTCTAATTACTTGATCTCTGAATGTTTGTTTTTTGTGATTTTTGGCGTATGCGATCTCGAAGCATATACAAACAAGTTTGTCGGTTGGATCGTTAAAATTAGTTTCATAGAATTCGTATCCCATCAAAACGATAGATTACCTAACACTTAAAGTTTATTTATACTTTCATTAAGTATAACATAAGATTTGTGGTATCTACTTGTGTAAATATTTTAAACTGACAATCAAATTCATTCATTGTATTCGTATAGGGTCAAGGAGTGTAGTTGTAAAATATCATCAAAATCGAAGTTAAAATAACCGTTAATTCGTGATTTTTTGTTTTATAACCGTCGAAAAGTTTTGTCTAATTACTTGATCTCTGAATGTTTGTTTTTTGTGATTTTTGGCACATGCGATCTCGAAGCATATAAAAACAAGTTTGACGGTTGGATCATTGAAATTAGTTTCATAGAATTCATATCCCATCAAAACAATAAATTCACTAACACGTAGAGTTTATTTATACTTTCATTAAGTATAACATAAGATTTTGTGGTATTCGATAGTGTAAATATTTTAAATTGAAAATCGAATTCATTCATTGTATTCATATAGGGTCAAGGAGTGTAGTTGTAAAAAATCATCAAAATCGGAGTTAAAATAACCGTTAAATTGTGATTTTTTTTGTTTTATAACCGTCGAAAAGTTTTGTCTCATTACTTGATCTCTGAATGTTTGTTTTTTATGATTTTTGGCGTATGCGATCTTGAAGCATATACAAACAAGTTTGACGGTTGGATTGTTGAAATTAGTTTCATAGAATTCGTATCCCATCAAAACGATAGATTTACTAACACTTAGAGTTTATTTATACTTTCATTAAGTATAACATAAGATTTTGTGGTATCCACTAGTGTAAATATTTTAAATTGAAAATCGAATTCATTCATTGTATTCATATAGGGTCAACGAGTGTGGCTGTAAAAAATCATCAAAATTGGAGTTAAAATAACTGTTAAATCGTGATTTTTTTGTTTTATAACCGTCGAAAAGTTTTGTCTCATTACTTGATCTCTGAATGTTTGTTTTTTGTGATTTTTGGTGTATGTGATCTTGAAGCATATACAAACAAGTTTGACGGTTGGATCGTTGAAATTAGTTTCATAGAATTCGTATTTCATTAAAACGATAGATTCACTAACACTTAGAGTTTATTTATACTTTCATTAAGTATAACATAAGATTTTGTGGTATCCACTAGTGTAAATATTTTAAATTGAAAATCGGATTCATTCATTGTATTCATATAGGGTCAACGAGTGTAATTGTAAAAAATCATCAAAATCGGAGTTAAAACAGTCATTAAATCATGATTTTTTGTTTTACAACCGTCGAAATTTTTTGTCTAATTACTTGACCTCTGAATGTTTGTTTTTTTTTTTTTTTGGCGTATGCTATCTCGAAGCATATACAAACAAGTTTGCCGGTTGGATCGTTAAAATTAGCTTCATAGAATTCGTATCCCATCAAAACGATAGATTACCTAACACTTAGAGTTTATTTATACTTTCATTAAGTATAACATAAGATTTTGTGGTATCCACTTGTGTAAATATTTTAAATTAACGATCAAATTCATTCATTGTATTCGTATAGGGTCAAGGAGTGTAGTTGTAAAAAATCATCAAAATTGGAGTTAAAATAACCGTTAAATCGTGATTTTTTGTTTTATAACCGTCGAAAAGTTTTGTCTAATTACTTGATCTCTGAATGTTTGTTTTTTGTGATTTTTGGCGTATGCGATCTCGAAACATATGAAAACAAGTTTGACGGTTGGATCGTTGAAATTAGTTTCATAGAATTCGTATCCCATCAAAACAATAGATTCACTAACACTTAGAGTTTATTTATATTTTCATTAAGTATAACATAAGATTTTGTGGTATCCGTTAGTGTAAATATTTTAAATTGAAAATTGAATTCATTCATTATATTCATATAGGGTCAAGGAGTGTAGTTGTAAAAAATCATCAAAATCGGAGTTAAAATAACCGTTAAATTGTGATTTTTTGTTTTATAACCATTGAAAAGTTTTGTCTAATTACTTGATCTCTGAATGTTTGTTTTTTGTGATTTTTGGCTTATGCGATCTTGAAGCATATACAAACAAGTTTGACGGTTGGATCGTTGAAATTAGTTTCATAGAATTCGTATCCCATCAAAACGATAGAATCACACTAACACTTAAAGTTTATTTATACTTTCATTAAGCATAACATAAGATTTTGTGGTATCCACTAGTGTAAATATTTTAAATTGAAAATCGAATTCATTCATTGTATTTATATAGGGTCAACGAGTGTAGCTGTAAAAAATCATCAAAATTGGAGTTAAAATAACCATTAAATCGTTATTTTTTGTTTTAAAACCGTCGAAAAGTTTCGTTCTGTTACTTGATCTCTGAATGTTTGTTTTTTGCGATTTTTTGCGGATGCAATCTCGAAGCATATACAAACAAGTTTAACAGTTGGATCGTTGAAATTAGTTTCGTGTATCCCATCAAGTTCAATGGTGTGTGTATATATATATATATATATATATTTATTATGCATATTTAAATCTATTTATTTTGTACGTATAATTATTATTGTTTTTAGGGGTATAAAATTGTTAAATTAATATATATATATATATAATTATATTATTTTTTAGGGTTATAAAATTATTAAATTAATATTCTGCTTATCGTGTATCGTGTTACCCACATGTATACCCGAACCAACCCGTTATCTTAATAGGTGCTTATCGGGTTACCCGATAACACCCGATTCGTTATCGTGTCGACCCGAACACCTGTTAATTTCGTGTCGTGTCGTGTCGGGTTATCAAGTCGTGTCAGGAATTGTCAGGCCTAGTCACATGGTCCTCCTACCAAATCCCAGGCTTCACCACAGCCTTTGTCATGCATTCAAAACGTCTTGCAGTTCCAGATCAGTTTCAGAGCTCTAGCTGGTTCAAACTTCACTTGGCTACACCAAGTTCAGTTTAAGGGGGAGTAATAACAGAAATGTTTAGTAATAACAAAAATGCCACATGGCATTATTCTAGTAGTTAAATTTGTTAATACAGTTAGAGTGGTATTATTGTAATTGGGTTATATGGCTATATAAGAGATTGTGTAGCTATCATTTCCTTAAGTTCAATTGAATACATTTTCTCTAATCAATCAATACAATCTCTCTTGGTTTCTCTCTACCACTTCTTTCTCTTCCTTTGTACCAATTTCATCTTTTGCAATGTAGTTAATATAGCCATGTGAAGAGAAAGCAATTGCAAATCAATATAGCTTTTGTCCATGTTGCCTAAAGCATTGAACCATAACGGGACAGTTTGACTGCAAAAATCCCTTTTTTCCATACTTTTAAAGGAATCAAGCATGCCGTTTTAAGAGTTTCTATAAAAAATTATGTAAAGCAACTAAAAATCCGACTTTTTTCCTACTTTTGAATGGATGAAGCATGCGGCTTGAAAACCAATCTAACTTTTCTCCATGTGGCCTGAACCATTGAACCAAAATACAAAAAATCACTTAATGCTTTGGAAAATTCCTTGGTGATTCTATTTGACAGGCTTTGAAAAGCCTCATCTTTTTATTCTTGGTTATTTCCCCTTTAATATGTATTTGTCCTGTTTGTACGTTTGGTACAAGTTTGTCTTCTTATTATTTTACTGTCATCTGTGAAGATTGTTTTTTACTACTTTCATAATGTTTTGCAGGATTCATAGATGATAGATTTCGTATGAGCTACATGCGTCCAACTATGTAAGACAACGTTCTTCGTTTCATTTAAAATGACCTACAACGACATCAATTGTTTGTCTTCTTTGTTGTCATAGAGATTGAAGTCAATGTCTTTGATTGAATTGATTGTTTCATTATCTATAATTTCATCTGTTTGGTTGCTGGAAGAATGTTGGCAAACAAAAGAACTCAATTTCAGTGTTATTGTTGTGATGAATACTTATTTTGACAAACTTATCAAATTTTGGATATTTTATGAATTTAAGATCTTGAGTTTTAGTATTTTTTTTTATGAAATTGTAATGAATTTGCAAATTTGTCAAGTATATCTTACATTCTTGGTTCCATATTCACTTTACCCATAACTATTGAATTTTGTCTCTTGACTGTATGGATTTTTATAGTTTGTAGGATCTACAATTGCAATGCCTTTGATGGATAAAGCACATAGGACCCGGCTACTCTTATAAAGCTTCTTTAGCATCGTAAGTTAAAATTGCGTATCATTTTTTTGCTTCACGGAATTCATTATGTTTAATAGCATACTAATTATGTGATACCAATTGTTATCTTAGCAGTTTCTAACAATTGGTAAAGTACGGATACATGTGTAGAACTTGAATTATACATATGAAAGTTTCATCTATTACACTCTTTTACTAATTTTTGTTACACAATCAATCATTCACAGGTAATGCTATTCATGGAGTGGTTCAAAGAATTCCAAAAGCTTCATTCACCCAATTTATGCTCTTCATGTAAAAATTCTTTCAAAAAGCTTAAACATCTTTCAGTGTAAATAACAATATCATTCTGTAACAATATATTATAGCTTTGAAACATATTTTTTCATACGATTTCTAATTCCGCAGCAATGCGAGGGCCATATTTCTAGTAACAACTATTCAGAGAAAGAAATAAGCCTCACCCTGCATAATAAATAAACACAAAAACTAAAAATACAAAAATTATGAAGGACATAAAATCTAACCCATCGTGATCGTGATAAAAAAAGACTTAACAATCAAATGAAGGAAAGGGTTTGACCAATCATCAAAGCCAATGAAAAGAAAACCTAACCAGAACCCTACCCTGCATGAGAAAATTGGCAACAAAAGTTAAAAAAGGAGAGTGGCGCTAGGATCCCCCAAAAATGCCAGTACAAGATAAAACACATGAGCCAGGAAGAAACACTCTGTCCTGTACAAGGAAGAGTTACAACAATGAATCGGAACCCTATCGGAAACTCGGAGTGTTTTCTACTCAACAAGACGGCAATTGCTATTACCAAAAATTTTATGGTGCTCCGGACTAGAGATATTCCGAGTGTTGTAATTATTATATCTTGATTTTTGAAAATTTTAACCGTTAAAATATCCGTTGTACTCCTTCTTTCTCCGTAGTAGTTGTAGAAATACTTCAATGCTACCACGTCTTGTAGAACATCAAATGGAAAGGAAAGTCAAGCAAAAGAAAAGTAGGCAATGGATGTTGCTTTTTTGCCAAAATAAGGAAAGCATTTTGCTTGAATTTGAATTAGTAACTGCCTTTGTTTCCATTAGCGTTTAGGATCAAATAATTGAGATATCTCCTTCCCCTCTATGTATTTGCCATTTCAAACACAAACGGGCATAAAACTGGAAAGCAGGACCAACTGGATCTCAAACAAAGAATTCAAAGAAAAAGAACATAGATATTTGACTATGTAACAAATGTCACTTTCTCCTAATAAATTAATAACGGGCATGCATTAATCATGAAATTTGGAAAATAAGAGCTCAAGTAGGTAAAGATCAATATCAAGGAGCAGTTTGTGGAGTTCGTATGGTTACTATTGGGGAGCATGAAAGACAGGAGAATACTCGGGTTGTGTAACCTAATCACGCGCTTGATTAGACCACTCTCATAAAAGCATGAGATATTTTGGTATTTTGATCTCACCAAGTGTGGAAACTGTCCTAGTTAGTCATCCGTTCGAACTATAAGTTTCTCTCAAAGAACACAACGCATCGCCATACCATCTTTTTAATCCCCTACTAACGCTTACCATTCGTTGCACGTGTTGGGGATTTCAACACCCTCTACTAGGGTGCTGTTACTAACACTAGAAAAAGAAAATTTTAATTGTGACAGGAACACAAGTGATACATCACGTGTTTTAATAAAAGTTATTTTTTAAGTTATTAACTTTTTAGCACACATATTTCACTATTTGTATAATGACATGTGGTGTACCACCCCATGTACCCGTCATATTGAAAAATCTCTCCACTAGAAAGGGTGCAGAATAACTGTAAACCCTGTATTAAAGGCAGTGATAACTTTACGTACTATCACTCCTCTACTTAGCTTATTGCTTTTCAAAATGCATATGTTCAAATTTCTATGTACTCAAAATATGGAGTTCAAGAAGCCAAATAAGAATGCAAAAACGGTAGACATAAATAAGCAGTCACGATTTTTCCACTTTTCCACAAGCATTCACACAATATAAACCTCAATCATAATATCTTATATATACTATCAAAACTAGGGCTACAAACCAAAATAAAACCACCTTTAACAAGCTTGAAAAACTTCACCTGCCACTATTCACTTGAGCCCTAACACGCAACCTATAGACAGAACAAGAAGTCAGATTTGTATAAAAATGTACTACAGATAAAAGCTCGACGTGTCAAAGAGAGAACGGAGAGCGAAGATGACTACCTGAGAAAATGATATTTATCTCTATTATTCTTATCTTTCCACTGCACTAGATTAGATAGCAACAGACATTCAACTAACATTGGTACCTTGTCACGCCCACATTAGATATTAGACAACCAAGTCTGATTACAGCCTACATAGTTCAGTGATCCCTCTTTACTAGCTGCATGAGAGTATTCAAGTTTTTTACCAGTAGAATTCACTCGTGTATCCAAGAACAATTAGTTTGACAAAAACAACATAAATCTCGACTTTTCCAGCCTCCAGATGGATTATTATCTCTTCTTGACTTCATCCATGGAGGACAAGTAGCAGCAGCTAGATCTGTTATCTCCAGAAGTCCAGATCGAAAAACATCGAAAGACTAATGCTTCTTTCCTTCACTAATCTAAAGGCCATGGCAACTCCTATGAAGTCCCAAATCAGACAGATGAAACTAAGACTTCGCAGTTGAACACTTAAATTGGCAAGACCGGAGCAATGGGAGGTTAACATAGGAGCAGAGTCATGTTACTATTAAGTCTGGGTTCCGCTAACTTTTATTTTGCACGTGTACAGTTCAATTTAGTTAAGTTTCCGTGGAGACTCTACACATGAGAGAAATTTAGTTAAGCCACACAATGACGTAATAAAATATGAGGAATTTGGTGTAACCGGTGGCCTGCTCGTACTATCATGATTGCTGCTAACACTGGGTGCTTATTTAAGAGCCAATTGGAAGCACACAATATATTTATACTAAAATATGAGGAATTTGGTGTAAGTCAGACAATGATTTAACCATTAAATCATGTTTATCATGTTTTTCATGTATGCATTTCTAATAGTAAAATATGCATTTTAGAAGGGATCCACTCACAGATACTCTGTCGTCGAAGAGCCGTACGAAATAGGCTGGACGGAAACGCTGCTAATAATTGCACCAAAACACATAAATGGTCCAATTAATAAAACTCTATTAAAACAATTGAATTTGGAAAAACGGATGTAAAAAACAGATCCAAGACGTCAAAATTAGCCTAGGAGGGTCCCAACTGAAACCCGAAAAAGTCAACAAAAAATCAACGTTGACCGATCAACGGTCAAAGTCAACAGTTAGCGTTGACCGAAGTCAACGGGTTAGAAAAAATCAACGTTGACCGATCAACGGTCAAAGTCAACGAGTTAGACCGGTTTAACGGGTTCGACTTAGGTCAACTAGGTTAGGTCACGGGTCGTGTCAGCTGGGCTGGGCCGAGGGCTAGTGGGTCGAAGGCCTTGGGTTTGGGCTTTAACAACTAGGCTGGGTTCATGGCCCAACGAGTTGGGCCGATCTAAACTGGTGGGTCGGGTTTGACCTGTTTCTAGGCCAGGTTGGCTGTATTTCGAATGAGAAGAAAGCCGAAGCTTCCCAAGCTTCGATCAACCTTGATTCTACACTAAAACCTACGATCTAGCCACCAACATGAAGACAATTTGTTTGGGTTAAATATTTGAACTTTGGGTGGAAGGAAGAGAAGCCTGAAAAAAGAAGCCCAGAAAGCATGACTATGCCCGAAAGTCCAGCATCAAACTCATTCACCCAGCCCAAGGAAAAATGATGATTCCACATTAATGCAAGAGCAAATAGGAGTAAGTGGCCTACATGGAAGTGACACTTGATGGAAATCGGCCTACTCTCATCCCAAAGCACTTTCTTAATGGCAGAGTACGTAAATTGCTAATGAGTCACTACCCCCCATGCTGCTTTCGGGCAGGAACCAAGCTGCAAGCAGTTAGGCTAACTCGCCTATAAAAGGAGGAAGAAGGCCCAGAGACAAGGACACTTAACCAATCAAACAAACAAATACACAAGCTCTGCTCAAGCCAGATTTGCATATAAAGCTGTAGTCAGCCCCAACCTCAATCCTTTTCAGGATCAGCCCTCACAAAAGCCATCTTTTGTCTAGTTTAATAGCTCTGCTGCTCACCAGTAGTATCGATTCTCTTGTGTAAGTTTATTTGTCATCCATCCTCTTTTAAAGCCCTCAGGTCCCTGTAGTTACAAAGAAAAGAAATGGCGAAAGGTCAAGTCTTGCCTGACAAGGTTCAATCTTGCCCGATTCCCTTTGTTTTATCTTTTGGTTAATAGATCTGGTGTTGTAATGAATTCCCTAGTGTATATTCAAATCATTTTAAGTTTGGCTTACTCTCAGATCTGGTTTAGTTAAATGATTTTACTATCTTAAGAGTGAATCCACTTAATGCATTGATTAGATCCGGACCTCTGCCTTTTTACCATACAAGATAAACAAAAGTCCTTGATCTCAAGGCATAGAAAAGAATCTAATGTGGACTTAACCCATCCACGACAATTCTTTGATAATGAGAAGGCAAAGTAACTTGGGGCGCAAGTAATCGACTTAAATCTACTCATTTTACATCTGCCATATTGAGATGGTAGTGGCACGCCTTAGCACTTAAGTTGGTTTTGATTGTGAGCCTCACGGCCTATGCTTAAGGCTCTACAAATGCACCTTTCAGAATTAACTTTGTCCTCTTCTTGCAACCCGACGAACAAAGCGAGAACCTGACAATCAACAAAAGTGCCAACTCTACGAGGAGCTGTGTGCTCAAGCCAAGAACACCCACCAGCAACATTCCTGCCCGAACACAATTAAGTGTAGAATAGAAATATACCATAAATATGTCCAGTCATGGCTGACAATGCCACGGTTTCCTCGTCGGAATCTGGGGAATGAAGAACACGCATGCACAAGGGATTTCAACTCCAAAAATCACCCAAACAGCTCGAAAGACTCACTAGAACAAGGGTACAACCCCAAACATATCGACTCGCCTCATATTCATCAGATTCCAAGTTAAGTTATCGGTGTTCCTCCCTGCATCCAAGGTTGTAATGTTGACAAGAATGAGAGGAGTGAGGATCAATGGAAAATGGCCTCTTTAGGCTTGATGGTTTCAGATCAATTAGGGGAAGAGGGTGAGTGAGTTGAGGGAGAGGTGTCGAGCTCGAGAGGGGAAAACAGAAAGAGTGAGGAGAGAACAAAGAGGTTCACGGGAGAGGTGAGGGAGAGAGAGAGAGAGCAATTTGGGCCGAGGAAACACAAACCAAAGGTGGGCCTCTCTTGGGCACACCTATTAAGACCCAAAAACAATATTTTCAAAATAAAATC